TTATAATTGGAAGATAACTTACCTGGATAAAATTGGTTTGGAGATAAGAAAATAAATAAGAAAGGCAAAATACAATGGTGAAACTCCAAAGATAGGTTATATGTCCCTCTAGAAGAAATGGGTGAAGGATTAATAAATATAAGGGACGAATATGTTATTGAATTAGTAAGAACAGTAATGTACTACTGTACCAGAGAAAGTGAAATAGGAAATAACATATTAGATAGATGGTACAGTAAGAAGGGAATATTGAATAGAATTAAAACACAATAATTCATAAAATCAATGAAACAAAAATAGAAGAAATAATAAATGAAGGGATAGAAAAGAAAAAAGAAAAAGAAGTAGTAGTAGAAATAAAAAAGTTATTGACAAACACATCAAAAAATGGAAGTGTCATCAAACAAGTGGATATTTCAGAAGATGGTTTGAGTCAAAAGGAGTAGATAAAACTACTACAATGAAAGCATGGAAATCCATCAATATTAAAAAGAATGCATTCCTACAATTAACTAAAATGCAAGATGAAGCAATATTTTGTGGGTATAGAAAAGCAAAAATAATGAAAAATGAAAGATTAAAATACGCAACACTTTGTAAAGACAAGATAGCAACAGTAAAACATATTCTACTATCTTGCATTGGTCATAAAAATCACAAATAGGAAACATGACAATATTGGCATTATAATATTGATTAATAAGAAAATATACATTCAATAAACAATATAAAAAACCTCCATATGAAACAGTGTTACAATATAAAGACATCACTATGATAATGAACAAACAAATAATGCCTAAAAGTGATGGACAATATCACAAAATACCATATATATGTAATAGATAAAAAGAACAAAACTGGTCTATTATTTGATATGACTATTGTGGCTGATCACAATATTAATGGAGCCTATTGGAAGAAAAGAAATAAGTATAAGGAATTAAAGAATATTCTAATGAAAATAGAAAAATTAAAAGATGAAAAAATAAATCGAGTAGTAATTTCAATAAATTGATTAATAAATAAAGAAAGTAATAGATTAATTAAAGAATTAAAAATTGACATCGAGAAAGAAGTAAAAAACCTTGTCATAAAAAACATGAATGATGTCATGGAATACTGCGGAGATCACAACCAAACATACTCCGTAGAGTTGCTAGAAGAAGATGAAGAATCATTGGGATTAGTCTTATCTGATGAAGGAACATTAAGAATTTATAACAATTGAATTAACGATATTATATTTTGATATATTTGATTTATACAATCAATAAAAAAGAGGTAATAAATACAATATTTTATATTTTATAGTGTTTTAATTTATTATTTTAAATATTTCTTCAAAGAAGATAGAAGTTCTGAAACATCACACAAATAATATAAAAATAATAACAAAAGAGAAATTCATATCAATA